TCTAAAGGACGCGATCAACTTGCGACATCAAATATAACGATTATTATAAACTTATGTAAGAGTTAAGGAAGAAGAATCTCTCGCGCAGAACGTTTTCAACATGATAGATTCTGGATATTTTCTTATTCTAATAGAAGCGAGAATAATTCTGAAAGTCATAACATTTTCTGGAATTAACTGGTATAACCTGTTAATACTAGATTTACGGGCATCTACCGTACACTTTATAATATTACTCCTAGAAAGATAGGGGTACTCATTTACACCACTGATTCCTCACCGATGTAGATGACTTTTAAATATGTTGTGGAGAACTATTTCCAAATTTTCGCAACAATAGGTCCAGGAATAGGGGGTTTTCGTACTTGTTTACAAAAATAGTAAGTCGTATGACTTTCATCTTGACATATATTGTTAAGATCATGTTCTATACACCTAGAACTATAAACTTTTTAGCAGTGAGTATTGGTTCAAAGGTTATGTAGCATTATAGTTTCGTATCGCGCTAAAAAATTTCGTCTTCATTTTCATTTATTCAAGTTGTGTTCCTTGTAATATGTGTACTCGAACTTCATTTAAATAATAGAGATTGGTATTAGCGGGTCTAATTTTTCCGGGGTGAGGATGTTGGTTCCGTCCCTACCTCCAGAGAAACCAGCTCCACAAATATCAATTTCGATTATTTAAATGAAGTTCGAGTACACACATTATAAAGAACAAACTTTGAATAAGTGAAAATGAAGACGAACATTTCTAGCGCAATGCGAAACTTTAATGCTTCATAACTTTTAAACCAATACTCACTGCCAACAAGTTTAAAGTCCTGGATGTACAGAACAGTGACCTTAATAATATGTATGTCAAGTTCAAGGTCACACGAGGGTTGCTGTTTTTGTAAATACGTTCGAAAACTTACTATTTCCGGACCTACTTTTGAAAACATCTGGAAAACTATGGCCAAGCGGTGGAAACATGTACAGGGAAATTGTTCGAAATGATGATCTTGACAACATATTTCAAGGTCATCCAAGTCCGTGATAAATTAGTATTGTAAATAACGACCAAAAGAGAGATTTAGGACGCGTGTTCGTACAATTATGTCAATCAAAATCGATGTATCTAAACTTTTCCAACCAGTGTTTATGAAATTATATCCGTCACATTGGTGAGTTCTTCAAATCTAGTGCTAAACATAATTTATAAGTATTATATTAATGAATACTTGAACACTAATTTATAAGACTATATACTATACATATACAGGGTGTCCCAGAATAAGTAGAAAATATTTTTGGGGTGACTTCAGCAGACCAAAACAATAAAAAAGGTTCAGATAAACATACGCTCTAATTACTTGACAAACCGTACCTACTTACCTTCGTAAAAGGTGTTCAAAGTGACTGTGTGCCTGCACACAAGCTTACAGACGCCAAACAACCGATTATCTCAATCTTTCGGCGTTATAAGAGTCCTATACAGTATATGTTTTAAATAATCCTCCAAACTTACTAATCATACGCGATAGTGGTTACATAGCATAATTCTATGAGATATTGAGCTTTATTTCTAAATTGTTCGATCGAATTAGATCAACTATTTTCGTTTATATCAAGAACGTAAATACAGTTTGCCAAAATTGACTTATAAATCACTTATTCTGGAACACCCTGTATACATATTTCACTCTATCTACACAATAAACATTAGCGATGGACTTCTTCATACAGAGAAAGTACTACTCATAGACGATGTTTGTTCACATGTCCTACGAATTGAAGAGGCAAATTGCGGCAAGAGGACGCGACCACTCACGATGAACGTTGATGCTTCGGTTCGATGGTTTTTGTTATTGGCTGATTCGCGCAAACGAAGATCGCAAATGAAACAGAATATAACGAAATAAGATACAAATAAGTAATTGACGCCCGTATTCATTTTCTGTCGTTGTATCTTACTTTGTGGGATTTTTTTTCATTTGCGATGTTTGTTACTTCTGTTCGTTGCAAATAAAACAAGTTGCAACGAAGAACGGAACGAAGATTGCAAATGAAACAGAATATGACAAAGTGAGATATAACGATAGGGAAGGAACATGGGCGTCGATTCTTTATTTTAAAAAGAATTATGAATAAATTAAAATGAATGAATTATGAATGAAATAAAATTTTTGAATGGTATTTGGGAATGTAATATCTTCATTCTAAATATGCGTATATGTGTATATGCGCATGATCTATTTTCTGTTAGATCATTCACATTTCACATTTTCTTTTCTGTTATTAAATACATTAGTTTAATTAGTTTCTATAACTTGTAGACACAGTTATATAATTAGTTATGTAGATCTCTATCCGTTATATAACTTATTTATACTTCATACGATTTTAATGTTAGTTCCCACCCTTTATATCTCGAAATGAACGTTAACATGGGAATTTCGATAACCTAAACATTCTAAAGTGCTATAAACATTGCTCATTCGTAGGAAACAAATTGATTGTCAAAAATCCACGGTTTTTGAATAATAGTTTTGTGACATGTGACAAAATTTCTATTTTTTTCGGGTAATACCTTAACAGATCCCCGCAGTAACCGATTTAATAAAACTGTCAAATATTGCAAAAATTGCACATTTTGAACAATTTTTCCTTTTGATAAAAATGTCGTTGAGAGTTAGTTTCCGAGATAATCGCGAAAAATTTTGGGTTACTCCACATTGAATTCTACATATGTGAGCACGTCGGTGAGACGACCTCCAGCATAGCCGCACGGTCGTCACGGCTGCTAAGGCTTGCATCAATCAGCTCTCGATTTTCTTAGGTTACGTGTATTCTTCTCAACAAAAGTTATAGTAACATTGAAACGGATTCTAGGCAGTTATATATTAAATACGTCTCCCCACCCTCCCGCCCCAAAATACTAGCTCCATCTATACTGATATCTATTATCCGAGTGCAACTGATTTCTACATGTACGAGGAAAGCTGCGAAACTGCTGCGATCGAGTCAAAACTATTGTAACGAAGCGTACCCATGTGAAATCCAAAAAGGCGAAGGCTGACGCGAAACCGCATAATTATGCTTGTGTCGTTTCACGGACGCGCTCCCGTATACAGAATTCAACGTAGTGGTAACAAAAGTTTGTTGCGAAAAACATCAGCGACATTTTTTCTAAAGGAAAAAGTTGTTCAAAATGTGAATTTCTTGCAATGTTTAATGGTTTTATTAAAATCGGTTACTGTGGGGATCTACTAAGGTATTAGGCCCCGGTACTTCACAAGAAAAAATTATATTTCACATTTCTTATTTGTTTTCGCATATAATACTAATTCTTTAGTTGCTGCACGAATTGTAGAATATTTCGTACATATATGTCGATCGACTGAGAAGTTAAATGTTTAGTATTGATTTTTTCATACTGATTAATATCATTGTTAAATTATTATTAAACTTCTTATAAAACTCTCACGCAGTCGATTTCCGTAAAAAAGTATCAAATAGTATAGATCATGTAAATGTTACGTGTTAAAAATAACTATTGTAATAATTTTATCGAATCATTCATTGTGATATCTCTGCGTACCTAAACTTTACAACTTACCTTATCGATGCTTATCGACTAGGAACGTAAGTTTGTCCAAAAATAACAATTCTATAAATTCTTTCACGTTATAAAACACAGGCAGATTCACATTTCTAGTGTATAACCTGCACATTTACAATGTGCAAAGCAAAATAGATTATAATGCGTAACACCAACAATTTTTATCAAACAATATTATCAATATCATAATCCTAAATTTTTCCTAAAACAGTTCAGAACTTTTCAATTTCATTGGAAGCCTCCAAAGGCAAAGGCAATAATTTTTCAGTCTATAATTAATTAAAAAAAAATCATTTTCCTGTAAATTATGAAACTTTTGACATAGTTGAATAGTTTTTTAAAAAATTTCAAGGACAGTTCATATTTTGTCTCATTTACACCGTGTGATATTGAACATTAATGTATAAAATCGTAGCAAAGCAACATAAAGTGTTCACTGTACAGGATATAATACTCATTAGACGATACTACATCAAAAAATGAATGAAAAATAACGAATTGAGTTTTTTAAAATTCATACCTATCGAAAATATTGATCTCTTAAATTCTTATCTTTCATTACTCCTTTTTGAGACCTTGATCAATGAATTAGACATGAGAGTTTATCGATAAAAGCGAGATCAAAAAATGGTCAAATACCAAAAACAATAGTATTCCAATAGTTCTAATTAATATTCTGTTCAAATTGTTTTTACCAGATAAAACTCACGAATTCAGCACTAAAAGTTTCATAAAGATTTAATGAAAAATATGAAGCTTTTTATATCGCATTATAATTGCAGTATGTATCATATTACTATCCTCATGCCATAGTAGGATGAATTAAAAATAAAGACATCTTGGACTGATAAATAAGTAAGATTTTTTTAAATACTTGAGACCATTGGCTTACGTTTCATATCAGCGTTATAATACCGAACGCTATTTTTTACGTATTTCCGTTCTGTTATTGTTTCATTATAATTAACTATTCATTCATGCGTGTTGGAGTCAATAATAATAAGAATAATCATTCTCTGTCTATCTATCAATATTTGTTCGAATAATATACTGACATTAAATTTTGACATTTTGTTTTTGTTTTCGTTTTTGTAAGGACATATTATGTTTTTCTCTTTATATTTTCCATTTATTTTTCCACGAAGAATCGTCTGACTCTCGTTAAGAAACACTCTGTATAAAAAACGAAACACAAAAAAGCATTTTCGAAGCTATGAAACATTAAAACGTATTGACAACAAAGGTTAGGACACTCATGAATGTTCAAGAATAATTTTTAAAGGACTCCCGAGATCTAGAAGATAATACTTTATATCCTGTCTATGGAAGCACATGCATTATTTGAAATATTAACCATAGGAAGCGATTAGAGAAACGTGAAAAATTGAAATACACACCCCATTTCGTTGGCTGTTTGATTATTGTTATTGGCCGATTCACCGTTCACATTGTTATTAATCGTGTTCGTATTATTAGTTTGCTGCAGCGTTTGACATGCACCCAACAGAGAGCTCCATCGCCTCATCACATGTTCACCTTGTGCTTCCAATTCGGACAGAATAGTGGCGTCATCCATATCCTGTAATGCGGTGGTTGGTTCCATCCTAAAATACAGCATAATATTTCATGTTTTTATTCTATATTCCAGATTACACTTACAAAAACAAAGTCTAACAGGGTCATTAATGGCATTAAAATTAATTAAACATCATTGATAGAATCATATTCACTCTATTAAGATAAGTTAGATCTATAAATATGCAATAATATTCACATATCTACCAAGCTCTCGTTACACTGAATTAAATGAAGCTATTCCTCGAATTTGAAAGTAACGATAACGTAAAATGTGTCGATGAAAGAATTCTAATGACGATAATCCAATTTAATGATTGCTAACGTTTACCGTTTCGGAATCAATAGTATATGTTAATCATCTAAATTATTATGAAACCTTTTTAAGTGTATCAGATTTAAGTATATCATATAAGCATGATTTTATTGTTGAATTCAGTAGATACACTAAATTAAGAAAAAGAGTTGATACATATAAGTATATACACTGGTCCACCTGATCTGATTTCCGAGTTACCGAAATAGTTTCACGCTATTTCTTTTAACAAACTGAGCTCTGCAAGTACTAATTACTATGAAAATTATTCTCTTGTAATATTTCCGAATCAGTTCATTAGACTCTTGAATTATTGTAAGATTAATTTATTGGAATGTCTAAAGTCTTTAACATATAACAGAGAGCTACACTATAGTTTCCACGTTTATGAAAGTCACCTTAAATTTAAAACTGTACAGATGTAAGGGGAATTGGCTGCACACTACACTTCGACTCGCGGCTCGACCAATAGCAAGGACGCACCGAAACCGATCCCCCATAACCATGGAGAATTTAACCGAGCAGAAAATATAGAAGGAAGCTATTTGCTTCCAGGAACTGAGCGCAGCCTGACAAAGGCAGAGAATCGGTATAGTGAGCGGAAACGCGATAGGCATAATCCGTCAAGCATCGGAGATTGAGACACGAGACATCAAAGCGATGCCGCACGCGTCAAATATAAACATGCGATGAGATTAAACACGACGTAAATCGGACTAGTTTTACCGATTTAATGTAATTAACGAAATTAAAGGTTCATTTCCCCCAAATGGATAAAATTAGATCGATTTACGTCGTGTTTGGACTCATTTTAATGAGAATAATCTCTCGTAATTGAAATTTTTTTCATTACATGTTTATACTTGACGCGTGCGGAATCTCTCTGACCTGTGTTTGTCTCTCTTCCCCTCACTGTATTCATTTTCTGTCTTTGTATACTGCGATCACGTTACACTGGCTCGAGACAGTGAGTAGTGAGATAAGGGTAGGGAGGGTGCAGTGAAATTAAGCCGAGTAGATTTCTATGGCATTAAAACGAGCATCACTGTAACAATAAGTATCAGACCGGGCGCAGCGAGTGGGCGTCTCCCTTTGCCCCTGTGCACTTTTGAACCTACAGTTACTGATATAAACGTAGGAGCTGCACTGTAGGAAACACTGGCATGCTTCGGCGAAGTATTGCCGAGGATTGCCAACGAATTCGTACAGTGTCTCCGTTTAGTCCAACAATTTCTAACGTATCAGAAGGTTAATGATAAGACACGATCATTTTGAGCAATTTCTGTGAAAGTAGGTGAATAATTAATACAATACGAACTTCGTTGTATTCGGAAAATAAGATCAGAAAGGGTAAACATTAGTAATTATTTATTTGACGATCTTGACCTTTATATATGTTGACAAGTATAGGATACTGAGTAACTATTCATAATAATATTTTTAGCAATCTTTTATACTTTTCGAGATATTCGCAAAAACAAGTTTCAGCATTTTAATAATTATTTTCAAAGAAGTACATCCCATCAATCTCAATGACCTCGAAATATGTTGTCAACGTCATCTTTGTAAATACATGTTCTCTATACACAAAACTGTTGCTTGGTCTTGGTTTCAGAAATATATGTACATATACATATGTTCAATAGTACATACTTTACTTACATAGTAGACCGTGTGTAGGTCAAATCTAAGTTAATAAACAAAAATAACTTAATCGGCGGTCTTTTACAGTTTTTTAGATATTCCTAGGAAAAGATTTTAACAATTTTCTACTCATGTTTGCATCAAATTTGACAATTATTTACAAAAGCACACTCCAACAATTTCAGTTACCTTGAAATATGGTTTTCATTATTATATTTATGTTTATTATTAAATTTATTAGTAGGGCTGCTAATTTAAAGTTAGTTAACTAATCCAGACCTAACCCAAGCACGGTCTATTATCCAAATATAGTACGTAATTTTGAATATGCTTTTACTTTTGAGGATATTTTTTAAACAAAAACCTAGCGACAGATATATGTACAGAAAAAAATTGTTTAGAATGATGACATTGATAATGTATTTTAATTATAATTATTAAAATTTCGAAATCTTTTTACAAATATCCCGCAACGTATATAAGGTTGCCAAAAATATTGTCATAATAATACGGTTATTCAGAATTATTTCTTTAACAGCAAATGTAATAAAAAACTCACCTAAAGGTTAAACTTTTTCTTTTACTTCAGTACATACAATCAATCAATCAAGTTATGTCTGAACGTTCTTTACACTCGCGTTAATGTTGTTAGCGGAAGATCTTTTCTTTGAAATATAACTACATGAAATATAAAATCTATGAAACATTAAATAAATAGATTTCACTAAGTCCTTCTCGTTTTATGCTCTATTTATACGATCAATAACAAAAATCTAGGATTCTACACGTACCTAACAAATGTTACATTCCATTGTTTTATTTTGTTTTGTATTACATGCATAATTAAAAGTAAATATGATTCTGACACAGATTTTCGTAATTCCTTTGCCAATCATTTTCTTATGTTATTGGAGGATTAGAAATAATAAAATACCAACCGATGCTGCTCATCGAAGGAACTCGCGTCGCTCTGTTCGTAATCCAATATCAAATCATCGGATGCAATAGATTCACAAGGAGACAGAGTATCGACACTGCCGGCTCGACTAATTCGTTTGCCATGATGCGGGCTATTCGTGGCGTTCTTGCTGTATCCACCAGCTGGAAGGTCGAAATAATTGATTAATAAAACCAGAAAATATACAGTTATACACAGGTATATATAGAGTAGTTCATGGAACAGTTATAAGTCGTAACAGTTCTTTCGGTATAATTAGAAAAACATATTAAAGAAAAGAAATAAATGGTTCAAAGAGTATATTACATTTGTAGAATACATCTTTTTCCAATCTTAAAGATGCGTATGCATTATTCATTTAATTCGAAATATGTATTTTCGTCTTAAACAGATCTAATACTTTTGTCATTTTACACAAATAAGTAGCAGGGTCAAATGATCGAAAAATGATTTGTTCTCAATATTTTACATAAACGTCTTTATTCGTAGGGATGCTCAAAACGCTCGTTCATTGCATTTTAACCGATTTACTGTATCTATAGTAACGACGTAAATATGTCTCATGTTCTAACTTCATTATTTTTCGATGATAGAATTATAACTTCGATGTCGAGAACGCGAAGCGCTCGAATGTAATAATAGCTATAATAGACACAGAAAATAGAGTTTTTTATAAACCAAAAAAAAGAATAAAAATGACATAGTGAATACTTTAGAATGAACAGGATTATTTCAAATGGAATTCATGTGCATTGTCGTCAGAAATATCAGAAGAGCGTAACGGGGATTGAATTTTCGTAAAACGGGACCAAAAGTCACAAAAATTGCATCATAGCGGTTTATTGTTGCCAATAAATGCATTATGCGTTGGAGACTTGAAGAAACATGCAACTTTAAAAAGCTACGAAAATTCACTGTATTTAACTCTTTTTTTCACCTTCGACTACATATTTGGTAAAACACTAACGTTCTTATAAGAAATATTAGATAACGTTTGGAACCTATTTTCATATTTTTGTTACCATAAACTACAAAATAGTAAAATTATACAGTTTAAACAATTTATGATTTTTTTATGGTCAAGAATAATTTACGATCTTTTTCATTTTGAATAAAAATCAATTTTTTTGTAATTTTGGAAAATAAAGAAATGGAAGTTTGTTAAACAAGAAATTTTTATTTTTTTGCGCTAAAAGAATCAACTTTAAATATTTATAAAAACCCAACATATCAAAATATAAAAAATTGTACGTTACTCTTAAGATAATCTATTTTCATTTATTTTTCTACAGTAATCTGTTACTTTTTATATTTCAGTAATTTTTGTCTCTGGGTACAAGCTAAGACGTTAATATTGACCAATGTAAATGTTATATAATTTTATCATTTTGTACGATTTGATAATAAAAAAGTATAAAAATAGAAGTAGAATCAGAATATCGCTTAATAGTCCATTTAAAAATCATGTTCTTTTTGCTACATATTTACAGATGGAAAAATAGTAGAACTCTTAATGAAATGTATTGCGCGTTGATAGTTAGCAACATGTAGATCTGAGACGATACTGTAGCAAGAGGGATCTTTTGTTGGGTGTTTTGTTTATGTTATTAACTAATTACCGTATAGTTGTATAGGCCAATAGAACATTAGTAACGAAAATGCATGTGAGGAGAAGTGTGTCCCTTTTCAATGTAACCAATTAAACTTGCATTTTCTTATATCTCCTTCCTATTAACACTAAAACTACCGAGCAATTGGAGTGACTTATTTTCAATTTTTTCTAAAAATTAAAACAATACGTTTCTTGAGATTCGAAGGATTCCCTAGTTTTGTATATGTGCAAACACACGAATTTAATTGAAAATCTTTTGTAAAAATGCCTGCATAACTTAAATACTTGCAAAATAAAAATTCTGAAGTGGGCCAGTTTGACCCGTCCAGTAGTTTGTGTTGACTCATACATTTTTATCGTGTTAAGCCCACAATGGTTAGTTTAGCAGGAACTTCAAAAGAAAAGATGATATTATGAGACTTTCGGAAAAATAAAAGAAGATTGTGCATAACTCAATAACATGATGTAAAGCATAGAGTGCTGGGCATGCATTATGTACGAATAAAACGAAGGGAACTTTTAGAACGACCTAATATCAACACATTACACACATACGGTAGTGCTCTCTGAAATTTAAAAAATTTTAGACCCAGCATTAAAATTCTCGAAAGTAGGGTAACATTTTGCAACCAACTATTGATTTGAACATGGTTCGACATACCGAGAGAATATTCATTCACGAAAGAACTGGCGCAGTCAGCATAAAAAGTAATCAAGCAATAAAGAAAATTTCAATTTCAGTCATTTTAATCTGAATTTTTCAAACATAGTATCAATGGATTATTGGGATTTTTTCGAAATGAATCCAAACACTGATTTTGTCGTTTAATAAGGCGATTAATTTGCAAAGGTAAATACCAAAATTAACGCTAAAACTGCCGAGCAGTTAAATAAATCGTGTTTCGACTCGCTTTGGTCGAAAGAATCTTTCAACAATCGATCGGCATGTAAAGAATTATGATTAAATTTACTGAAACTGAAATTTTCTTTACTGCATGATTATTTTCTTACACCCGTGACACATTTCAGAAGTGTGCCAGTTTCTTTTCCCTCCGTTGTGTTAATTCTCTTTTCTTATCTACAGAAATCCAATTACACTGCGCTCGAAACAGAATAGTGGCAGAAAAGTGAAGCTGGGTCTTTAAAATTTAATCGAGCAGCACCGTACGATTTTGTCGAGTGTAACTAAGTGATGTAGAAAGGAACGAAGATGGTTCTGGGGAAGGTATTGTAGGCGGGAGAATGTACGTTTGTCGATAATGGTATGCTGAATCGCCACAATGAACATACATAGGCGGACATAGACACACATCAAAGTTGTATTTTTATTTCCCACTTGTATATATTCGTATGAGAAGCTTAGATAAGTGCCGAAACTATATCATAAAATCAAAGCCATTCTTTGAAGTAACAATAAAGATTTTATTTATTTATTACAAGAAATTAACGAATTTGTGGATACTTTGTTTCGAACAATAGTTTTTGGGACAGATAATACCTTAAGTACATATGAAAAATGTATATACCTTTATATCTAATTTTAAATTACAATTATAATATCACAATCTTGCGCATCAATCTATAGATACCGGTCTCCTCGCTTCCCCTACTAAACTGCACAATTCTTTCAATATGTTTTATTTTTCGCTGCTAAAATTAAGAGATTGTATCAGTTTTGTTAAACGGCTAATGGTTTATTCGGATAATAATGTTCTCGCAATGCCTGCAACTTACTTCGGATCATTATCTGCTTGGCGATGGATTCAATTGTTTGTTATAGATAATTCTGCAAATGATAGTACTATCTTTTTCATAACATTTCAATGTACATACAAACTAATCCATAATTCTTTATAACTTAAACCCTATGAGAACATTTACCAACACGTACTTGAAATAATGTAGGCCATTGTTCTTGAGATGTTTATACACAACAAGACTTGTCCACGGACAAGCCATGAGTTTGAGCCTTTTTCACTGTTTATACGGTATGTTGATATGTTCATATTGTACAAAAAGTGAAAAATAATCAAATCCACCGCTTATCCGCGGGCAAATCTCATCGCGCATAAAGGCATTTACTGTTTTTCATGTATTAAATAGTAAAATTTAACTACTAAAATCAGCATAAATATCAATAACGGACTTAAATCTATTTTCTTCGAACCAGTGATATATATTTTTTCGGGAATGCTTTTCGTAATCTCATTTTCTAGAAAACATCAACGACAATTCCATGATGATGAATACATTAAACAGCTTGACAATAAGCCATTATAAATATTCTCGGTTCCTTCAAAATTTCTCGGTATGTTTTTCTAATTTGTGAACCAATTCTTCCTATGTTTGTCTTGATACTTGCAAGACATTCTTATCTACTTGAACTGTTCGACATGTACTTATGAAAGTTATTTACAAAGTAGATATTGCGACCAATTTGTCCCAAACACCGTTGTTCTATACAAAATAAACACAACACTATAAAATTATTTAAATAAGTAACAAACTTACTATTAATGTATAATAAAAAATTTAAATCTTATATAAACGTAGTTTTGGTACTTTTATAAGTATCTCAAAGAAATACATACAGTGTAAAAAGTAAAATACAACTTCTATGCAAATGTACACGTAAGTATGTAAATATATGGAATGATGAAAAAAGAAAAGGTTACAGAATTTGAGGATAGTCAGTACTTGTTAATTGGAAAAAAGAAAAAAAATCTTAAGAAAGACGCTGTGAAATTTTAATGAAACTTTTTGTTTGTGTTAAAGCGGGTAGATTTATTCGCTTTAGGTATTAGCACGATAGTAAAACTTCTCTTTTCACTTCATACACGTGTATCATAATTCTTATGCTGCTCGGTAGTTTTTCTAGTGACTAAACTGAGACTAAGCCGACTAATATGTTTATCAGAACTTTTCCTACCCAATTAAAAAGTACTATCTACCTTTAATTGTTTAACCTTCTTTTTATGTCACCCTTTCTAATTATCATTGAATACAAATCATAGAAAAACTATTCCTTGAAAGAGAAGCAAATCACTAAATGAGATTCAGTATCAATGCTTATTATGGTATTATAATATGAATATTATAATAATACCAATATTATTGGTCTACACTTTGTTATGGTAATATTTCAAATAAAGTGAAATATCGACAATTTTAAAAGCTCGTTTTACTAATTCTTCTGCACGATATTCCCGTGGAAATTCAATCAAATTTTGTATTCGTTCAGCAAGCTGATATACCAGCATACAATTCACGAGTGACCATACAATTTCTAAAAAATAAATATGACGATAAGTACATCGGCACATATACTCCAGCACCTTGAACAGCATACTTGCACGATTTCAGCCCCGTTGACGTTTCTTCTACGGGGTTATTTAGAAAATAAAGTACATTCACCTCCTATGAATTGTTTAGAAGACCTAAAAGAACAGACAAGACTACACTGTGCAATACAATAACCAGAGATCATCTAAGCTCATTGTCAGTTATGAAAGCGATTAAAAAGCGTTGCGTGGTGTGTGTGAAATGCAATAAAGTAACGTTCGAGCATTTCCGCTAATAAAGACGTGTATTTAAAATATCATGTGGTACAGTTATTTTCTGACCACTTTACCCAAATACTTTGTTTTAGGCAGAATTGGGCGAGGATTCAATCTATGCAAAACAAAAAATATAATAATAACAACATTTCCATTTAAAAGAATTTCATTCCTAAGTGGACACGCATTGTTATAATTGCACCGGGAAAACGGCAAACTTAAAACAGTTACGTGGATCACACCGTGCACGCAAGTATACTTGAAGGTAACAATATAGTGTGACGGTGAACTTTCCATAGCAATAAAAAGAGGTCTTTATTCAACAGATATCAGAGCATATCACATCGGTACAAAGCAACATCTCTGCGCTCTTTTCTAGAAGTTCTGAATCACCTTGAACAATGTTTAAAGCACGCAAATTTGAGATCTGGGCTAGTCATACTGTTACCTTTGTAAGTATACCCGTGTCGGTAAAACAAAAAGTTCTCTAACAAAAGACTTTCGACCACCTTTACCTTTAGGACTGGATTCGACTAATGTATGACTGTTTTCGGTGGCGAGCTGGCTAGCAACGATCGATTGCGCGTCGGCAGCGACCCTCGAATTCTCATTGAAAATAAGCCCAGGTTGATCGGCGATTTCGTCATCGAAGAATTCTCTACCTTCCGACAAACTCAACGAATTCGAGGCATTGGTAGGCGTTCCGGGACTATCGTCGTCCAAGGTGTTTCCAGACTGTTCCATAAGTTTCTCCTCCTTCTGGACTGTGACGTCCGATAGAGTAATACTGGCTATGAGGCTGTCGAAAAGACTGTCAACTGGAGAAGTCTCGTCGTCTATTAGCGAGGTAGAGGTAGCTGCAGCAGCGGCGAACGCCGGGTCCTCAATGGTGAGCAACACCGATCGTAGAGAAGTTCTCGGTAGTGTTCCGTTTTTGCCTGTGTTCGTGGTAGGTTGCATGTGATGAGTTATGACGGAAGGAGAACGTTGGCACTCGTCGCTGGAACTCAACGAGTACTCATCGGCCATAGCTTCTCCATGTCCGTATTCAGGGTCGTCCGAACTAGGTGGACTGAAGTCTGACTTGATCGAGGGGATTTTTTCCGTGCGAGACCTGTCTTTGTATACCTTCTCCTCGCCCAAACCTTCATCGTATCCTTCGGACGAGGTGGTGGACATGGAGGTGATTGATTCGGTGTGTCTGTTATCTTTGTTCACGATCCGTTGGTACTGCGTGGTTCTTTCCCGGACAAGTCCAGTGTTGGCTGCCGTGAATGTCTTCGGTAGTGGTATCACGGATATTTCGGTCACCGTGCTGTCCTCGTCTCTGACGTCTCTCACGTCGAAACTCTTCCCGTTCACCACCATTCTCAGATTCCTAGGTCTGCCTATTCCTCGTCTCCTGCTCGGAGAGTCGGCCGTGTAATCGTAGCCTCGGGAGGAATCGTCTACCATTGTGCAACCTTGCTGACTACCAACACCGGAATCTTCGGTACTGGATCCTTCCTTCGAACTCGTTGAGCTTTTCGACGCGGCGGAAACCTTTCTGTTCTGATTGGCCGCAGTTTTGGCGGTCTTTTGGTTGTTGACGCTGGTCATCCTGACCGCGTACTGAGGCAACGGCAGGTGACTGGTATGCAAAGTGTATTTGCCGATCGGTTCGGGAATACCTGATGGTCTTCGATTCCCGTCCACATGGGAGGTGGTAGTAACGTTGTTGCAGATGGTCACGGTGCGTGCCGGCGACCTGATCTTCGATGCCGGCAAAGAGCTGCAGACTACTGGAGCTACTCTTTGCGTTTGTTTAGGGATACTCTCCTGCTGGTGGTGTTGCTGTTGTTGCAGAGTTTCTTGGTTGTAGTGACTGACCGTGTGGCTGTTGCAAACATCCCCGACTTTGTTCGTGAATTTCACTTGCGGCTGCTTATATCCGAATCGGTTCGTCCTCACTGCGATCCCGGTTGCGTCTTTCTTTGGCGGAGCGAGCCTAGGCGTTGATCTGCCCGAAGACAAATTGCGAACAGCCGCGTTGTCCTCGTCGCGTCTACGATTTTGTTCAGGACCAGCCGATTTTGAGCGCGGATGAACTAAACCAGCCTCCGACGAATAACTCGCTATCGCCATGGGAATCCCGCTGGCCTGTCTCCGTCGAAAGCCGAAAGATGTTGCCACGCCCCGCCTCGATGAGCCCTTGTTGCAGTTCTGAAACGAAGAAAGCACACTTCAGAAACCTTGCGATTGAAATTCCTCGTTTTCTTTTAATACGTAGAGTGATTAAACAAATGCGATACACACTGATATTTACGTATCGACGTTAGGATCATAGTAGACGAATGCGTACTATAATAACTTCCAATTATTTAGCAGAAGTTACGTGAACATATACGTTAACATTTATTTTATGCTTTATTTAATTAGTTCAAGTTGCTTTCCGCTTTTACTTTTTACTGTGTGCTCTTAAAATATATATAAACGCGCATACAAAATCCTGAGTATTTAACTTTATTACTTTTTAATCTAATCGTAATTTAAAAGTCACCGGAAAATGACCCCTTCAAGCAAGTATACCTCCTAAAAATTATTCTTAAAAATATCCAACAGTTGTCCCGTCCCTCTTTTATTTCTTCTATGCCTGCAAATCTCTTTTCCTATGAGAGGTTTTCGTTTTAAAGAACCACCAAAAATCATGCTATGCTACACCTATAAAATTCTATGTTATCAAATGAAGACACGCGGAGATCTATTGCGTGGCTTGGCTATTTATTAAGGCTTCGCCTCTAATACAAACACATGTCATTTGAGATAGCCCAGTCAGAAACAAAAATATAAGTATTTACAATAGAATCTGTATAAATAGACACTCACGAAGGAATTTTACAACGCTTGTTTGCAAAATTTGATAGTATATATCCCAAGGTATATTTTAAGACTCCGAATTATTAAATTTGTGGATAAATAAAATACTGAACGACCTAGATCGAAAACACAATGACTTGGTCAATCGAGGTTTTACTGTATTAATAAAAGCATTCATATGTATATTTTAAAAAAGCATTCATTGTTACTTTCATTTTCTGCATTTGTAACAAATCACATATACTTTCTTTTTAATATAACATAATAAATAAATTGTAAAGAGAAGTTGGCTGAAATTCTCATAATAATGGACATAAATTGTTTTAAGAACAAAATATAATTATCTATCGTAAACACACGTTATCAAATGACTGGAAAATATTTCAAATTCAATATCGTGTTTACTTCCACCTTAAAATTTCATTATTCAGAAAATTAGAATGATTCTTTCCGGTTTCATCAATAGGTACATATCTATCGATGTACATAAAGTCAATCTTTTCAATTTTACTATATTTTCAATGAAGTTATTGAGAATGTTTTATTATATCAATTTCATTAAGTAGTTAGGGTAAAGACACCAGTAACTGACCTGATATTAATAGTTGAACATTTTCCAGAGAAGCGTAAAAAATAAGGTTTTTACAAGTAATAATCTTTCGATAAAGACGCGATAGATATACTGCAGCATCTACTGACTCAACTCCGAAACATTTTTACATAAATTAAATATTTTTATCGTAAAAACTAACGATTTATTTCATTGACGTTGGTTGTATGCCTTCGTACTGTAATTTCCTTAACGTCGTCTTTAAGAACATAATTCATGGTACATAATTCATGGTAAGAAATTAACTTCTTTTCATTTGTATCTGTCCTTTTACTTATAATTTGTCATAATCGTTGCAAACAAACGATATTAAACTAATCACCTTCAGTGTGTTTGGTTTTACTACAAGTGGTCAACTGCTAACTAACATACGGTCAATTACTATTCCCCGTTTTCAAGGATTGTCAACTTCTGACGCAAGTACTGAATTTTCAAAAATGTCTATTAATTTGGATAATATAACTATTTCAAAACATTCGCTTTGTTACATAATGTAAGAAGTTCAAACAGCATTTACACATAAGAGTCTCTCTATTTAATAAAGGAGCAAGAATTTACTATGATTCACGCAGAAAATTTGTCTGAACTGGTCAACTACTAATGCTTTTACCCTATTTTACATCCTCAGTATTACGGGAGAAGTTAGTTTGCTACCTTTAAGCACGGACGTACTATACATAGTATGATTGGTCGTGATATCATAAATATGTAGGTACTGTAATTTGTATGTGCCCTATCTTATAAACGCATTTGCACGCTCAGTTACTTCGTGATAACTTTATGCAAAAAAAATAGCATGTTAATGCAATCCATACTTAATGATACTTTAGTGAACACAGAAACAACGTGATTGTTTCGAAACGTTAATAATGTACAATTCAAGAATGATACAACGTAACGAAAGTATGCCGATCAAAAAAATATTAGCATGATAATGTCTTTTCTAATAACCATACATTTAGCACTGACGTTCTATGTTATATGCAAAGAATTTTCTTAATTTTTGCACTACTATTTATTTACAAAATATAAACGTTCCTAATTAGATATATTAACCACAATTGTAGGTTAGATATTGTCATCTACTCACTGTTAACACTAAATCTACCAAACGGGTCAAAAAAATAACCCATGCCTGATTTCTTTATTTTGCAATTATTAAAAAGATAACAGATATTTTTCTCAGAAATGATTACAGGAATTGATTTAGCAATACGCAAACTGAACTGTAAATCAATTAAAGCTTCTATTGATGCACTCTTGGAGTTTCTATAGAGGGATTTCAACAAGCCAATTTAACTGCTCGGTAGTTTTAGTGTTAAAGCTGATTCACTATAGCAGGAAAAAACGAATTAAGAGTAATAAAATTGTAGTTTTCATTTCGTTTTCGAATTATTAACAAAAAAATGCGTACTTAATCGACGTACAACATAATCGTATATTCCTTTAAAATTTCTTATGATTTTGTCCTTAAAAATGACCCTGAACTACACCTGCGTGTACAAACACCGTAATGTATTACGCAGTACAATTATCCTGTTCGTTAACGTTCACAGCGTCGTACGCACACATTGCCATTGTTCAGTTGACAAATGTGAATGTATATCACGCACATTACGGTCGTTTCGTTCGTGAATGTTAATTTCAATTTATGCTAGTAAATACACATGAAACTATTATTGCCGTGATATTAAGGCCGTCATAAATTTACGCTCTTGATCTTAACTGAAACAATGACGCAAGATTAGCATTAGACTGCGTTTTCGATTCACATGGTTCAAAATTAACGAAGATTACCAATGTTTGGTATTCTTCTGCACCTGGCTTGCCGAATAAATAATATTCGACTAAATATTATAGAGGACACTAGTAAATTCACATTTTTATGCAGTTCATTTTATCACAGTTATGCAGATCACGATCAGTCACGGTCGAGGAGATCAATGTATCTTTCATTTCTGCTCGTTCGTTTGAGAAAGTAATGTTTCCCAAATATAATTCGGTAAAAATTGCATTAATTTCTTTATAAGCAAATTACAATCAAAGAAACGGCGGTGTCGGGTACATCAGAAAAAAAAATTTAATTCTGATTTTTATATCTGCATTTTATCCGATGTGAGTCACAAAATTTGTTATCTCCAGTATAATTTACTCTCGAACAAATTTTCTTAATTGCTCGTCATTCGTGATCCGTTTTGACCGTTGATCGTTCACAGCTGGCGATCAGGTCGGATCCAATCAAGAGTGACGCAGTCTTTGATCGTCGGCAAACCGACCGGACGATAAACAGATTCCGATTTGACTTGACCGTACCGCCAGCCGTGAATGCTTACGTTTAATTACATGTTGTTACATTCGCAACGATCATGACTGGTTATGACTTGACCTGATCTGACCATACTATTTGCCCCATCTAAGCGGCCATAGTAAAAAAGAGGTTTATAACAAGTTTTTATAACAAAATATGGATACGTAATATGACAATATATAATAATATGCAAGTATATTGTACACAATAATAAATTCATTAATATAAATTATATACAATTTCATGTATTTGATTAAAAATTATACGTTTATATGTGATATATTACATGATATAGTATACAACAATGTATAATACATAATAATACATCATAAATAATATATAATTGTTTAATTTATTGATTTTCTGTAAATCTTGTATACTAGTGAGTAAAATTAAAGGATTACAAAATTTTCGTTGAAAAATTGCCGAAATTATAGTTGATATAAATTTATAAGAAAAAAATTTGTTCCGAAGTATTAAACTTAATGACCTTAGAAAGTGGCTTTCCGAAACACCGCAGATTACGACACGCGTACGCGTGGTCGCCTGATTTGCGGGGCATCGCGGTAAACAAAATGCTCTAGAACAAAAAGGCGGACATATGTGTAGTATCTACGATTTTTATCATAGCTTAGGATATTTTTAACCAGGTAATTGCGTTTGATGAGCATATACATCAGTTTAAAACTCTAAATGGTGCAATTTTTTTCAACGATGGACTACTTACTTTTTTCTATAAAAACGTAATTCTGCTTCGTTTCGCTTGAGTTTATCGTTAAAATATATTATAAGTGCATCTGGCATGCATGTGACAAGTATATAATTCATTATTTGATTTTATTGCGCGCACAATAAGAGATCTTTCAAATTAACTCCCGCACTTAACGGGTTAAGAAGCGTGAATGCGAGAATGATTGTGAGCGAATGGCAATAAAAGAGGAAAGCCTAACGAGGGAAAGTGGCCTGCACAATGTCGTAGGCCCAACGTTTCCAATTCGGCTTTGGAGGGGTGTGTTTGAGGGTGTGTAGAGAGTACGACTAAAAAAAATGATTGTGTCACAGAGAATGATTTTTGAATACGTATGTCCGAAGGAGGATCTATGCCTAGAGAGAGTCGTGCGTTGGTCTTCGTGGCATTAAGTCGTGTGTTGTTTTAGTTGTGTGTCACTATTATGTAGTTCGTTATATTTGAACATTACTTGTTTTATTATTATTAAACATAGTTATTTATTAGAGCTTTCCATATTCGTCGTTTTCGATCGCTTTAATTTATGATTTAGTACACGGAATAATATCACGTTGCACATCGTTCAATTCTCATAATCCACTATTACATCATAGGAAAAAAATATATGATTCCATTTAAAAAAATTAACTTGACCTTGATATCTCCCCACCTATCTAGCTATGAAAATACATTAATCGCAC